TTAATTTTATGATGCTGCAACTGTTTATCGTCTATTAATTTTATGATGCTGCAACTATTTATCGTCTATTAATTTTATGATGCTGCAACTGTTTATCGTCTATTAATTTTATGATGCTGCAACTATTTATCGTCTATTAATTTATGATGCTGCAACTGTTTATCATCTATTAATTTATGATGCTGCAACTGTTTATCGTCTATTAATTTTATGATGCTGCAACTGTTTATCGTCTATTAATTTTATGATGCTGCAACTATTTATCTTCTATTAATTTTATGATGCTGCAACTGTTTATCGTCTATTAATTTATGATGCTGCAACTGTTTATCGTCCATTAATTTATGATGCTGCAACTGTTTATCGTCTATTAATTTTATGATGCTGCAACTATTTATCGTCTATTAATTTTATGATGCTGCAACTGTTTATCGTCTATTAATTTTATGATGCTGCAACTGTTTATCGTCTATTAATTTTATGATGCTGCAACTGTTTATCATACATAATTCATTTATCATGTATGTTTATCATTTCGCCGTCCGTTCGTCCAAGGTTTTACTTAGAGACCCTAGGTGTTACAAATCTGTAATTTGATATAGTTATAGATATTAATCACGCCTACAAAACCGTAAAATAAAATCCTAAAAAACATTTTTATTTCTGGTATCTCCTATTCTGGTAAATGAATTTTGTATAACAGAAATATGACGGAAATTAAAAAAAGAAAATTGAATAATCGTCATTCATTTACCTGTAATGGAGATACATGTAAATGAATGACGATTTTTTTACCCGCCTATTCCATCCTGTGTGGTATAGATAGGTCTTTCAAAATTATTGGGGGTATGGACGAACATCTTTTCGATTCAAGGATTCGTTTGCGAAATATTAAGCTTTAAAGTCGTATTCTTTATTAAAGTCGTGTGTCCCTCCCCTATACCAACTAAACCACTATTTTTGAAAATATGAAAGTATAATTAACAGTAGCATATATAACGAAATTAATAGAAAAACTATTGCAGCAAAGTAGAATTAAAAGTTAAAGAGTAATAGTTCACCAACTTATAAAATGCACTTGGATTAGTAAAATTTCGTTACAACTCCATAGAAAATGACATAAAACTAGCTGCATTATAACTTTGTAATGTTATTGTGAAATGTGAACTGTAAGAAATAAACATTTTATGAAGAAAATGACTAATGTACATTACTACTATATATTAATTTTTTTATATGCGGGATAGGCAGGGATGATCTTTCCCTCTTACTTACTAGTTTTGCTTATTATTTAGTTGGTAGTTATTATAGGCCACATTTAATGTATTCATACAATCAAATAGCCTCATAGAGTTTCATTTGTAATACGTTTGTTCTACCCGGGCGATCCTCAGAATAATTAAGGGCAGTGGTAGTTTAAGGGAAGGTCCGTTACGGTAATACATATCTTAGGGTTGTACTGCCGACATTATGTATATAGAAAGATAGTCAACTGTGACCATCTTTGTACGGATTTGGCATGCAAATGATTTGATGTAAATTGTATTGTTTTCAAAATCGAAAAGTTTTTTAAATCTTTTTTCCCCAAACACTCCCTTTAAGTCTGATTTGAAAATGAGTTCTTCAATTACCATCTTCCTATTTGTACCCATTTTATTTGTTATAGCGGTCAAACCGCGTATTATGCTCATTATCAAGAAAACCCATGTATTGTAAGGTGGCCAGCTTTATTTTTCATTATAGTCTCTGATCTATAGCCTAAAATCTTAAGTTAGTTGTAATCCCTAAATCATATATAAATAATAAAACTAAATTAAATATAAATCATAAATTATATTCTCACAAAAACTATCCTTACAATTTTATAATAAAACACTATACTAAAACACCAATAAAACATTAGAAAAATCAAAAAATCAACACAATAACATTCACGCAAAAATGGCGTACGAAATAAACGTAGATTATAAATAAATATTCATAGGGTAACAGTTTTTTTATTGCATTAGAGGATAGAGTATTTCATATTGATTATGTAATTCTAAAGTTCTTCATAGAAAAGTAATCTCTATATATAAGTTTTTACGGGTTAAAGTGCTGTGGTTGGGTGCGACCTTATGAGACCTCTAGGGATTTGACGGAATATGGCCGCGGTCCCACGAGACTGCTTGGGGGCTTAAGGGTTAAAGTGCTGTGGGTGGATGCGGTCGCATGCGACCGCTCGGGATTTGACGGAAGCATGCGACTGCATGGGAATTTTAATAGGATTGAGGAGTTATTATCTTTTAACATTATTTTTTACGCCACCTTATATAGAAATTAATTATTAATTATGTATAATAATGATGGACTGTCACAAAATCACCCGTACGAGGCTGGTTTAGGCAGATTTCTAGTTTAAAATAAAAACACATACTACTTCTACTACACTATTAAAAAAATCATTATAGTTATTTACAGCATTGAACTACAACTACGTCCGCACTCTATTATTTCACAGATATGCAGGTTTATTACGATTTTTTCCTTCACCGACTAACACGTGGTAAATCAGCACTAAAAACTGCAATTAACAATTCAATTGGTGCCCGCCGCAATTGAACCTGTGTCGTGCGCGTACTATGATGTATACGGCGAGCACCCCTAAGCTACCACGACTAGCAGTTAAAGTTGACATAAATATTAACATAAATGTATACGCATTATAAGTCTTTTAAAGTGTAATGAAATGCCTCCGACGATAATCGAGCGCGACATCGTTAACTCATTAAGCAGTTAATATAATATAGCCTCAAGCAAAGGTTTAGAGTGAATAATAAATTACAAACCTATTTTGGCTTAAATTAAACACACGAATCCTTCCACGCATTAAACAAAAATGTAAAATAAATTAATAGGTTTTGTTCTCGCTATTTATTCTACTTTGTCGTTACTAATGATATTTTTTTTAAATAAGTATGCTATTGAAAATTAATATTCAAAAGATATTAATAGCCGCAAATAATCTGCCACTTTAACATCTCGTTATGTTTTGAATTTAGTTGCATACTTAATGACATATATATTGTAAATATTTTTTTAACTTTTATGCACGAAAAATCGTACAAGCCAGTAATATTCTTTTTTATCTCGTCATAGTTATCGTCTGTTTGTCTTACAGGTAGGATTCCACAGTTAGGTAAAATATTTCTAGGGTATATTGTTCCTGCAAATTGAAATTTGTAAATGTTGCACGTAGGAGCTTTTGCGTTGCAGCGAAAAAATATTCCGAATTTGCAAATACGATGATTCATATTTGCAAATTCGGAATATTTTTTCCATTGACATAATTAAAGCGGGCATTATATGGCCATTTTAATGCCATTATAAACATTTCATGGAATAATATTTTCTTTTTACAACTTCATTGATATATTCAGTAATTATATATAAAAACTTTTAAGCACACAAAAATAATATTAAAATTAGAAAGATTTCTAAACGAATTTTTGATTTTGAAAATAATATAAAATATTTTCATTTATTTATTCATCTTAATACATCAAAACTCCGCTGCTCAACATCTGACTCCTTCATAAATTGAATTGATTATATATAATAGATTCTTAATGAAATAAATGTCGATTCATTCCTTACAATCTATAGATTACAATAGTGTTACTAGTTTCACTGCATCTGAACGTAGTACTGAGAAATTAACAATTAAAATATGAATCTAACAATTAAAAACCATCTGAAAGCGATTTTCTAGTATTTTTCACCGTTATTATAAGTTAAAATAGTGCTCTGTTGATAGTTATAGTACATATAACACAAAGTTGTAGCTATATTCAGGATACACAGGTACTTTAAGACCAATAGAAAATCTTTTCAGTAGTTCCAATGTCATATGGATTCTATTTTGGACATGTATTGATTGATTATGAGTGCACATTCCAAATACCACTAAATTAATACGAATAAAGCCAAGATGACTAAGGTACAATATGTCCATTTATATTTTATCATATTACTAACACAGGGCAAGAAATATGTTTTATACTGGCTGTTTTACAAAAAAAAAATATAATGTAAATCTATTCATTATTGTAGATCATAGTGTCTAAAGTATTCTACTTATAGTAGAACAGAAACAGAACTATTTATTTAATATAGATTATAAATAATACTTATTAATAGTCACTTTTTTTTAACGTACCACTGCACAGGTTCGGAAAAAACCTTTTCTTGGGAGGAACCAGCAAAATCATTTATGTTACAGCAAACAACAATTTAGAAATAGCTTGGTAACGATCACCTTACCCAATGGTAATTATCATCGATAAATTCCTTAATATTATAACTCTTTTTATTGCCGTATAGTGGAGGTTGAGAATATCCACTACCCCATATATTATCATAGACTTCAGGTTCCACAGTGCATTGGTTACCATGTTTCCCTCGCATATCTTCCAATACAAAAGCAGTCTCTGGTTTTTTTTTTTTGATAATGCTGTAGCAATTGGTCTGTCGTTTATTGCGAGTATAATTAAAAAAAATGTTTTGCAGACTCTGATATAATTATGGTTTAGCTGGAAATGAAATGCGGTATTTAATTTACGTAAATTTTGAGTGGACGAGTATCTGTATTTTGATTTAATGTCCGCAGTATGTCTAATTATAAATTCTGTTTGTTTTTGTAAATCTCCCAAACTCCAATTATTCTTGAAAATGTTCTATCTTGATGTCTCATTTATGTCTGAACCACAATTTAACCTGCATTTTTCTCCACATGTCGGTCCCATCTTCCTTGGAGGTACCGGTTTGTTAGTCGCTGATTGGTATACTTTACCAGTATTGCGAAGTGTTTTAGCTATTTAACTTTTCCAATTTAATACATTAAGTACCCTCTTTTTGCTTTTTCTGTTGTCCTGCACTTCTGAGGGAACATTTGACTCTGTAGCCGTTTGAATTGCTGATCTACTAGTTGATGCAACGGGATTTAAGGAATTCTCAGCTTCCTAATCTGAGCTACATGATGAAGAGCTACTGGAAGAAGAGCTACTTGACGAAGAACTACATGACGATTTTGTTGCACCACTTTGAAGTAAACTCGGAGCTTTACTGCTTGAACTAGGAATAAAATGAGGTTCACAGTCGGAATCATCAAAATCACTCTCATCACAGTGCAGGGGTGCAATGTAATATTTCTTTTGGTTGGATTGGGTCATTGATTCAACATTACTAGACGTACTGAGTGTATTGTTCACGTTAATTTCTTGAAGAACTGGATTAATTATTGTAGAAGGTAAAGTTATCGAGGACGTAGTTTGTTCTTTCGCAGCTTCGTTGTCATCATTCTGAGACCATTTATTGTTTGCACTCACCGGTTTCAATGATGAAAGTTCGTCGTTTTCCTTCCCCTGGTGATTTTTTGACTTTGTTTTTGTCGCCATATCCACAGGCAATCGCCCACGATGCATATTTATTGTACAAATAAAAACAATTATTTATTGAGTAAGTCACCTTATACTACTATATTGTATGTCAACAAGAATGTAATAACTCTAAATAATTTAAAAAAATAGTTAATAAGAATATTCTTATTTTTACTTTAACATGTTTGAATGCGTAACTTTAAAAGCTGTGATTACCAATAAGTATTTGTTTAAATGTTAACAAATTATCACAAGAAACAAGGTAATGAAAATTCTTCAACAAAAATGTATTAAGTCTAAAGTTACTTACTAAACCAACAAGAATGTCTTAAGTAAAAATATTATTTTAAATCTCATTTTTGTGAATCAATAAAAGTGTAACAACTAGAAATACACCAAATTTATCTTTAGGTTTAAATCAACTATAATTTATTAACTGGAATTAAATGGTTTAACTTTTACATACCTGTTCAGCAATAATGTTCCAATTCGAATTAATACGGTCTACGAGCGATTTACATGCTAAAAACGTTGGATGTTTCTTCTGGGACGAAACTTAAGGAAATCGAGGTGCGATAGCAATTGGGAGTTGCGTACTAAACTATATAGAAACATATACACGGGCTAATCCTAATAAAGAACTAGAATTCATATTTTACAAAGCAAAAGAATAAGTATCTCCTTGCAGCTTACGCTTATGCGGTACAAAAATTGGATGTTAAAATTATAACTCACAAATTTCTGATTCGTGGTCACCCTCAAAACGAGGGTGACAATGTGCACAGCCTAAATGAAAAGCAAGTAAAGCGCTTCCTTAAATCTGGGCCCATCTATGTTCCACAACAATACGTTACTTTAATTCAGACCGCTAAAAAGACGGGACAACCTTATAGAGTCAATGAAATGATGAATGATAAATTTTATGATCTTAAATTACTTACTGCAAGAGCAGTGGGGTAACAATTTTAATGTGAACACGGATAGAAACCAAGTAAAATAGCACGACATTAAGGTGCTTCGTGTTGTAAAGGAACATCCAATGACTTTTTTCTATAAGAATTCTTACGAAGATAAAAACTACAATAATGTTTCCGTACGTAATACACGACGAGCTGGGAACCAAAGGTTGGATTTATTTTCTGTTGGATTGACACAAGCTTATACGAGTAAGATACCTTTAAATCAAAATAAAAAGAGACACAAAAGAACTGCTCGACAAATTTACAATTCCCAGGTCCTATTATGAGTCATACTTTCGAGCTGTGATTAGTTTTAACTGATTAAAAAAGTATTATTATTAACATTGTGATTTGTAATGTTAATTATTTATAACTAATGCTCCCTTAAACTTGTTTAAGTGTACTTATTATAGTATAAATTCTTTCGCCTAGGTCCAGTTTAATGACTACGTACCATTACTGTGCAATTACAATAGTAATTAATTATTTATATGTATGAATATGTATGAATAATTATAATATTTTAATATCCCCTGTTTTTTACACTAAGACAAATTTTGTACTTGTTTTGGAAGGTTTATTATTTTATTTTTTATTTAACTAAGTACAAATGTTTAAATAACATTTTAATTATCTTTTTTATAAATAAATTTATTTTAGATTAGATTACCTGGTTTTATTTATCATTGTCCTAACCTTAGTATGAAAATAATTATGTTGAAGTTGGAAAACCAAATTTAAAAATTGTAGTAACTCAAAATGTTTCGATAATAACTATACAACTAAAAATAATTCATCTTTCTGAAAAATTTGTTCCGGACAATACAGTCTTAACTCTGTTCTGTTAAAATTGGTAATTAAATTTATTACCGGCAAATTAAAAAAAATGTTAAATGATAATTGCGTTAATTTTATTTATAAACCTAATAAAGCATTAATTTTTTTATAATTTATAACAGGAAGTGAATAATAAATTTTTCGACGATTCTGAAAAAAGTCACTTTTTGAGTTACAACACTATTGTACTATCAGTGCGATATATAGATTACACAGTCTATGTTCCGGACAGACACGCCTGTGCACAGGGATATAATATTTATATGTGCTGAGTATTGTAGCTCTAAATGAATCTGATATATTGTGCAGATTAATATTAGTACATTGAGGGAAAAGGCAGTGAGAAGCAGTATTTGCTGCCCGTCTATAATTTTCCAAGGTTATGTTGCTAGATACAACTTCAGAAGCCACTTCTAGACTTTCATGAACTGGTTGAGAAGTGATTGCCTCAGAGTCTCGTGTTTCAAGGTCAACTTGTACTTGTAGACACTCGACGAGCTTCATCAACTTGGTCAATACGCAAGGCAGCACGCTGACACTTCATCCAGTATAAATGGCATATCCTATCAGATAATGATATCTACAAAAGAAAACATTGAATTATCATCAGGTATTATATATATATATATATATATATATATATATATACTAAGTGGGGTTACTCATTGCTACCTTCTAATATTGCATTATATATTACAAAGTTAATGAAATATTTTTAGTTTCTAGTGTAAATAGGTGTTCAATAAAAAAAAATTACAGTTGAAATGGGAACATTTTTGGTAGATTGCATCTGCCACATAGTAGATTTATATAAGTTACACGCTTTATTGGTTTTATTTATACAGTGAGTTTGATAGCAATTACGCCGCTTTTTTTAAGTGTGTGATGTACTCGCCATTGATGTTAATACCGTATCATTTCCAGTCCAGTAGCTTGAAAACGTCTTCCAACGCAGCGGTGAAGAGTTTCGGAGATATAACGTCACCCTGTCTTACACCTCTCTGCAGTTGGATAGGTTTCGAACTCTGGTTCTGTACTCGGATAGTCATCGTAGCCCTACTGTTAAAACACTTCAGCACCTCGATATACCGACAGTCAACTTGGCACCGCTGAAGGGACTGTAGCACCACCCAAAATATCGACGGAATCAAAGGCTTTCTCATAGTCCACATACGCCAGGCAAAGTGGCAGATTGTACTCTTCGGTCTTCTGTACAATCTGCTGTAGGGTATGTGTATGGTCTATGGTACTGAAGCCTTTTCGGAAACCGGCTTGTTCGGGAGGCTGGTTGTCGTCGAGTCCGCGTGCGAGACGATTCGTAATGACTCTCGAAAACAGCACGTAGACGCGGCTCAGAAGGGAAATCGGTCTGTAGTTCTTCAAGAGAGCGTTGTCGCCTTTCTTAAAGAACAAGACCACCGCACTTCTACTCCACGCCTCCGGAGTATTGCCACCATGGAGGACGGAATTAAAGAGCTTCTGAAGGACTTCAAGTACCGGTGTTCCACCCACTTTCAGAAGCTCCGCTGTAATTCCATCCTCGCCTGGGGCCCTGCCATTTTTAAGGTGCGGGAGAGCCATTCTAATCTCGCTCAGACAGACGTCCGGGATATCATCGGAACAGTGTCGGGTAAGACTTGCTCTTGTATCGTTACTCACACTTGCGTGTGGCTCCAACGATGATGTGTACAGCTGCCCATAGAACCTCTCAATCTCACTCAAAATCTCAGGTGTCCCGGAAACGATGCTGCCACACTCAGTCTTCAGCTTTGACAGTTGGCTCTTACTGGCAGACAGATCTCTGGCAAAGACTTTGGAGCCCTGTTTCCGCTCGATCCTTCTTTAATACGAGCAGTATTAAAGTTGCGTAAGTCTTGCCGAAAGTAATTGGAGATCTGTCTGTTCAGTTGCCTGTATGCTGTCAAATCTGTTGACGATTGTAGCCTCATCTCCCGTCTAACAACCATGAGATTAAGAGTATGATCGGAGAGTTTTTGTGTTCTTCTGCGTCGGGTCTTGCAGAACTTAGCTCGACCACATGGACAGTTTCCACGAGCTTGTAATACATATCGTCCACTGCATTGCAATCTTCTAGGCACTGAAAGCGATTACGTAATTGGAGCTGAAAAGTCTCGGGATTCTGGATAAGAGCACGAGGGGGACGGAGCGTTGACTTCATTAGACGAGACCTCTCCAACTTAACGTTTAGGTTCAGTGTGCCTCTAACCATTCGATGTTCGCTGCCGGTTTTCACCCTTGCGATTACTGAGACATCACTGAACAGTTGGCGTCTGGTCGTCATAATGAAGTCAATCTCATTTTTTGTCGAACCGTCGGGGCTCGACCAGGTCCACTTCCTGTGGGGCCGCTTCTGGAGGAAAGAGTTCATCATAAAGAGTCCCTCTTTCTCCATAAAGTCAGCCAGCTGCTGGCCTATGTATCCTATAGCCTGAGTATCAGGTACGCGACTCTCGTCGACACACTCCCAATCTTTACAACGTTTTTGACGAGAGACTTGTGACGATAAATCCGACACCTCCTTGGGACAGATGGTCGCCCTCCCGGTGATAAAACAAGTTGCCGGACTCGAGGATTGCCGTGTCCTCCCCCTCTCTTCGGACCTCGGATAATCCAATAATATGCCAGCGCAACTTGTCTACCTCTTCTTCCAGCTCCAGTATCTTCTCGTCAGTCCTCAGGGTGCGTGCGTTATACGTTGCCAGGTCGAGTCGTCGTAGGTGGCAACCGAACCTCCACCGGAGATTCTTAGCACCCCCTGCCCCGCCGTTACCATGGTCGCCACCGTAGCCAGGAAAAGCGGGGCCGCCGGGGAACTGGGGGCCGTTTATTTGTGTCGTTGCTCATGGGGGGATATTTGCCATAGTTGCCACGCTTGGCGAGCGGGTTGGCAACCGCAGTTTTTTATTATGTTATTGTCGTTATTAGAAAGATGCTGCTGCCCATCTCCTTTTTGTGTCCCTCTGTCGCCTCTTACGACACACACGGGAAGATATGGGGTAGTGGATATTCTCAACCGCCACTACACGGCTATCTTCCTCAGTAATCTGAAATAGGAAACTCAATATAAACTTCTTTTGATTACAATTGACACAACATTTTAATTCCAGCAGAACATGTTAAACAAATGTTTCCAAATCGACAATAAGCAACAAGCAAAGATTGACAGTTCAAAACGAAACATGGAATAACAAGACAAAACTCAATTAGTTTAGTCAATGTAAACTCTTT